TATTCATATAGTCAGATTATAAGGCCAATGGGGTGTGGGTTCACCAAGATAAGAATTCCTGTCATACCTCCTGCTTAACTATCACATACCTTATGCAGCTAGGCAGTGAAACAGGTATTCATGCTATTCATACAAAAACGTATCAGTCAAGATGTCTATGAATTTCTGCACAATCATACTGTTGAAACAGATGCTGAGAAATTGTGGTCTTGGATACTAGATGGATTATGGAAAATTTCAGGGAGGACTGGTGAACCTTGAACATAACAGCCTTATGATGGAATCTTTTGCAATGGAACTTTACTGTAGGATTATTATCAAAATGTGTAGTTGTTAGATAATGATTGGATATGGCGGCATGGACTGAAATGACATTGTGATGCTCTAAAATCGACTTCTGTAATACAATTAATACTAACTTCATTGTTATTATTTACTAAAATTGGTTTTTGAATGTTATTACTCAGAATGGTTTTCAATCATTCAGTGCTTTCTTCTGTTGCCTCAACATCTGCTTCAGCTTCTAAGAATCCATGGTGAACTTCTAGTATTTGACTGGAAAAGTTACTAATGTTTTCTTTGGAAAGTCATTATCTTCTTTGATACGATGCAACGATAAAGATTGCTGGTACACAAATAGTGACATACTAATGGTAAATAAATTTTATTTTCACATTGGCTTTAAAATATTGTATTAGTACAGACAGATTAGGTACAAGTTAGAGTTCTGGTCCAAACACAAGTCTGTCTGCACAATGAGATGCTTTATCCTTCCAATAATGTCACCAAACAAACGAACATCCACAAACAGTGTGCAACATCTGCACTACCATGACTTTAACATCTTCCTCCATGAATTTATATGTCCACCATTACCATCCAATGCAACTGTGTGAATTTTTAAGAACTGTAGAACCTCATTTACTTCAGATGAAAAGCTATGGATGCTGTCTGTTCTGGTAATGGCATAGTTTGCTGGAGGTCAGTGGTTACATAGCATAGATCAAACACAGTGTAGAACATGTTTTCTCATGGTCAACTCTTTCCTGGTGTGACACAGTTCTGTATTTTTTCTAATGTTCATCACAGCAATCTGTAATACCACAAGTATATGATGATCCAGGTATACCTTTCATTAACAGTACTCAATGCAAAGTTAAAGATTTGGCCTCTTTTAAAGCAGGAGTTAAATGTTTTTATAATGACATTTTTCCAGAACATTTTCCTGCATGTTCCATGACATTCTGCACAACCATCTCTTTTAGCTTCTGTTGTCTATTGTCATGATGCTCTCATCTATCTGATAATGGTGCATAGCCACCTTTGAGAACCTTCAGCTTAATAATAACCACTTTTATCGTGCTTCTTTGACACAGAAAATAAATTCTATTTTACAGAAGAGATGAATTTACCATTGCATGTACAACTGTGTTTATAATATGCAGTTTTGTGCTTTCTAGCATTTGATTAAGACTCTCGAATATAACTTTTTTTACAGCAACATTTAAATGATAGTGTGTTACAACTATAGCTTCAATATGTATGGTACGGAAGATTTTGTACTACGAAGTGGCTGTAGCTCAGGTTTCTTTGTTGACATTATTTTTCCATTTTGATGAAACAAAACTCTGACCTTTGTTTCTGGATAATGCTGCTCATCATTTTTTTAATGGATAAAGATTACTGGTCACTTTTTGTGATTTGCATTCGTTAACAAGAAATATCATATTTCTTTTCCCTGATATCTGTGGATCAATGTCCATTTTTGCTCCATGTACTGGCAAGTGTTGCAAAATTTGTATTTCGATCGTTGTCACAGGTGTTTATTTATACCTTCACAGACATTACAAAGTTCTTCATCTGAACTTTGTTTGTACTCAGTGCTCTTCTTCACCAGAGAGATATAGTTTTCACTGTTACTTGTTTGCATTGTTAGAAACAGTGCTCTCTTATTACCACTCAGCCCAGCTGTGTTTCTTTTTTGTGAAGATTCACTTTTGTCTAACTTCAATCCTATTCTATATTAATTCATATTATGTGTTTCTGAATTTGTTTGCCTACAAAATCCTTCCACAATTTTGGAGCTAGCAGGATGAAACTTGGCAGGCAGACTTGGGGACACATCCTTAATTATATGGCATAACCCCCCAACAGTTATTCATTTGAGTTATTAAGGGGGTGGTGAATAAAACATGCCTGTATAATGGGGATCTAGGAGTAGGCTTGTATGGCATAAGAGTTTATGTTTCCGGTCCTTCTCAAAATCCAAGGGGCACCATTTTTGAAACTGGATTCCTACCCCCACTCACAAGTTACCAGAATTAAAATTGACAAATGTGCACTGGTACTATAGGTAGGTGTCCTGAGGGATTTTTTCAGGAATGAACCACCTTGGACATGATAGGAGTAGGTTTTCAAGGTTTCTGAACCTGGAACTGGCATTAGATTTAGTGTTCTTGGACACCCTCATGAACCCAGAAGCACCATGCTTGAAACTGTGTTCATACCCCCACTCATAAGCTAGTATGGCTAGACACGGCACAAGTATTCATATATTATGAGTGGGAGTCCTAATGGGGGTTGTTTTTGGGTACAAACACCCCTTGTGGTAGCTACAGAAGTAATTGGGTATAATGCAGGAGTTTGATACACTGGGGCTCCTGTGAATCACGAGAGGACTTTGAACCTCATTGTAGAGCATGGGTATTTTATGCCAATACATTATGTTGAACATCTGGCTCTGGTTGTACTAGTTCCATTTTTTAAACATCTCTAGCTGAACAACATCCAATTGTGTAGTTGAATGAGGTGATGTTAACTGCTCATGTGACTGACAACTAATATCACCTTATTGATTGTCATACCTAACAGATCTAAAACATTACTTTATCACTTTAGTACCCCCTAAACCAGTAGTTTTCCTTTTGTGAGCATTTAAAGAACAGTAATGCCATTTATTTTTTTCAAATCTAAATCTACTAATTTCAAACATGAAAATAATTTAATAGCATCTACATTTTGGCCCAGGCTTTCACTACAATCTAAGAAAATTAATACACTAAAGTGAAGGCAGCTAGTCAAAAACACCCACTTACTCCAATCAAATAACAGGATTTGACCATCATTCTAATAATTTACCCACAGCCACAAAAAGTAGAATACTATTTTACAGGAATGGAACATAAATTACAGTCCTTCGGATTCACAGAAAAGCACACTAACCATTAGACCACAAAGCACACTAACCATTAGACCACAATATATGATCAAACAGCATTATTATTTCAAACATTCATAAATAATAATTGTGAAGTAATCAATTTTCGTTTTAAAATAGAGCAAAATAAATAAATAAACAGCATTCCAATGAACACTATGAAACCTAAAACAAAAAGGTTATTTTCTTAGACCATGTTGGTCTCCTCAGACTCTAGCTATGACTGGCCAAGTACTCTAATAACATTTACATAACTTTTGTTGAAATCTTATATCAACTTATTAAAATTAGACAAATAAATGTTATTTAATAACGTACTTTTTCTTTATATGATGGATTTAATGCCAATCTATGTCTACTTTTTCTGTCACCATGAATTTCTCACAAAACTAGAACATGCTGATATTTATAATACTGAAAACAATAATAATGCTGCATAGTAACAAGCTTGTGAACAATGGCATTTAACAGTTATCCATTAATGACCTTAGCAATAATAGATCACTCAACATATTCATCTATATGCACATAACACCATCATTCGTGCATGTCTTTCTCTTTTTTTCTTCTACACATAACCCTTTATTCACTAAACCCTACAAGTTTCTTTAAATCGAATTTCTTCTGGCAGTCTATGCAGAATCTTGCAAACACCAATTCAAAACAATTCATTAGGAAAAATTAAGTGAACCTATGTTTATTATTTAGGTTTTTATTTCCTTATTAAAACTAAGACTATATCGTACACAAAAAAATTTTTTGAAAAATCAATTTTTAATCATTATTTAATCTAGTTTTACACAACATGTATAAAAAAAAAAGTTCTTTTTTTCTAAACAATGTACATTTATTTTCACACCTACAAAGTAAACTGACAGTTTGACTCTTGTTCAGATTTTTCTGGTTGAAATCAGTGAAAGAAAGAAATTGTGACTTTTCATTTACATGTAAAAAAATTTTTTATCATTAACTCTAAAAACTGCAATAAATATAATATTCATTTACACTTTGCTATAAAAATGTTCAATACAGAAATTAATGTTAAATGGTCAATAAATGACTTGAATTAGCTGATGATATTAAGGTCCTGGGTGTTGCTAACTGTGAAGAGGATGCTGCTGATTTACAAAAGGATTTAGATCATTTAGTGAGTTGGGTAAATAAATGGCAGATGGGTTTAAATTATGCAAGATAATGCATATGGGCTATCATAATTTGAATTAAAAGTATAATTTCGATGGGAATAACCATAACATTGTTATGAAAGGCTCCACATTTATCTTATTTCTGTACTTTGATTTTATATAAGCAAGTTGAAAGAATGTAGTAATGCGTCAATTCAACTGGAAATCAACTGTCTTGTTTTTTGCAATCAGCAGCCAACTGTGCCAGGAGCACAACAAATTTAGATAATTCAACGTATGTTGATTACAATTATTAATATGGGATTTATATATATTACTATATTAGTTTTATAATCTCTTAACATTTTACTTTATTTGTTACTCTTTCAGTAAATGGCAATTTCATAAATTTGATGTATTACTGTGGCCCCCCTTTAAGTACTATCATGGACCCATAGGGGGGGCCCATGGACCACAGTTTGGGAACCTCTGCTCCAGAGCATACTAAAAAATAATGGAATGTTTATTTAGAAGTAGGGATATTTGATGTTTTTGTAACACAAGTTGCACGATGATGAAAATTAAGAAAACAATTCAACAAATATTGGTCTATTAATAACATATTCCTTTAGTTATTCATAAAAACACATGATAAAAGAGATGTTTCAAACTGTAATTTATTGCATAATATAAAAAAAACCAACATAAAATTATGTCTCATTTGTCTGTACAAGGCTGGCCAACTAATGAAGTTGATAAAAATGTAATTTTATAAAACTTTCATTTCAATTCTATTTTGATCTTTGTCACATGTTATAAAGTTCCATAAGGTATAGTATCATTTGGTTTAAAGATATATGCAGGAAGCTGTTCACCTACTGGGATGATGAAGAGTGATTTTCTCCCTGATCATTCCTGAGTATCCTTATAATTGACAAAACAACACATACATACACATACATTTGTCTGTTATATATTACTTATGCATACCAGTTTGCATCTGTTACACTATTCTTTGAAAGATAGGTTTGACAAAGTTCTGTTGTTAGCATCTTATGGCTGATCCTATTGCCATGAATGTACCAAAAGTTCCTCCACCTTGTAACATCACTTTTCCAACATTCTGAATCAACTCTCTTCCTCGCATTCCATACCTAAACATCAATATAAAATAACATTTAGCTTGTGACTCAAAGAACTTTAAAAACAATTTGAATTAATAAAGGAAGAAAATGTTAAATTACAACATTTCTTGTTTTATTAGGGCAAAATTTCTTCTGCAACAAAAAATTATTTATCCTCAACAGCCAAGATAAGTTAATAATATGAAAAAAATGTCAAAATGCATTTAAGTTATTGCATAATACAATATTTTACTATTTCACTTCAATTAATGTTCTGTAGGAGTAAAGCAGTGTTTTTATAATTGAACTTAATTTTTATGAAATAGTTAACTGTGGAAAATAAAACATGCTTATTAGTATTAACTGTACTGAAAGACTGAAGTTAAAATTTTCAGTATAAAAACTAAAATACTATTTAAAATCTATAATAATAAAAGGGTGGGTCTGTTTGTGTCTGCTATAACTCCAAGAGGAAATAACCTAGAAACCTAAAATTTTGCACACATACTAAGTGGACTCTGAGGGTGTGCAACTGGGTATTATTACTTATCCACATACATGTCAGCATCTTTTTAATCAAGCAAGGTAGTAAACAACCACAAAGAAAAGAAGTGGTTCCTTACACAACAACTTCTAATATAGAAAAGCCAATGCATTTTGGTAACAATGAATTCCAACAATGGCTTTTATATTATGTTGCTTAGCAATAAAAGTATAACCTAATATTGTTGTTAAGAGGCTATGTGCTGAAAGTATAAAATGAAATGTATAAACTACAAAATTGAAAAAAATATTTGTTGTTTTCTAATTTAGAGGCTCCATTGATTAAAGAGGTTTAAGCTAACAATGAAACAGTCTCTATAATAAAAGTATAATAATAGAAAAATTGAATTATATATATTACACATTTTAATCAATACTGTTACTGAAAGTAAAAGTACAGAAATAGATTACGTCTTGCTTACAGAACACAAACATTAGCTGTTGGCTTCAAGTACTGCCATAGATTAAATATTCATTGAACAGCGTAACATCAGTATAAACAGTTTTTTTACAACCCTTCATAACTGTCTTGTAACCAATAAAAACCCATTAACCCAATGACTACTGGCTACTAACTTTCTTAGTAGGCAATGCAAGTCTTGCTATATTTTATTCCAACAATAAAACTAGTGGATGAATATGTTTGAAACTTCATAAGAACTTTCATAAATGTATGTAGTTTAACAGAGATGAAAGTGTCCCTTTCCTAAGAATCCTGAAAATAATCGAAGACAAGTAAGGGGGGGTCCGGCACCCAAAATCCTGCATTTTGATGCATTTTAGTACTTAACATTCACTTAAACAAGTTACCCCATTTTTCGTACATCAATGATTATCAATTACATGTGAGAAATATCAAATCTGATTCCCCTAGTTAATGGATAATTTTCAAGAGTGCATTCTTTGGAATTCATAATTTTCACTATTGGATGTCAAAACTTATACAAAGTAATGCTTTTATAACTTACACTCAGTACTGCATATGTGTTTTTGAAATGTGTATGATTCAACTGAGACTAAACAGTTCACACTATTATGAAATTGAATAGATTCATTATTAAAACACTGCTAAAAATAAATCAGACATTGTAAAATCAAACTCATTCGCCGAATGTAAACAAACCGCACAATTGCATAACGCTTATCTATGGCATGGAACACCAAAATCCGATAAATAATTCTAAAAAATGTGTTTCTCCGGAAGAAAACCGGAGGTTTTTAGGATTTTTTAGAAATATCCGGATTTCCGGATATATCCGGAAGACCTTCATTATTAAGTTTAAGAAACATAAAGTCTATTACTTTGATAAATTTAGTTTTTTTGCATTATGATCTTTAATATTTTGG